TGCATAGGCGGTCTGCTAGGTATTCAGTAAAGCGGCTAATGCATAGGAGCTGAACCTTTTGTCAAAACACCTTCAATTGCTTAGACCTATCGCCTTCCCGTTCTTTCGCCTTTCTTCCACCTGGGAATTGAGTTAACAGAAAACCAATGTCAGAGTGTGAACCGCTCAGTCGTCCCACTTGGGTGCTGGGTGTGATCCTCCGCAAGGAGGCGCTGTTCTCATGCCGGAAATCGTGTAACGGCTTTCCTTTTTCCACCAAACCTTGGATTCTCTTAACTGCTTCCTTTTCACTACTGGATCGGCTGACTCAAATAGCCGCCGGGCTTTCACGGAAACTCCAAGTTTCATGGCATGGGGTTGCGTTGGAACTGGAGACTCGAATAGGAGACCCTTCAACAAGTTTCCACGGTGAACGGTGAGACACGGCACCCCTCCCTACCCCCTGGCCCCCGTTGCTATCCCACCCGCTATTCGGGCAACAGAAGGAAATCGCACTCAACACACTTGTGTGTTGGTGCCTTTCCTTCTGTTTCTCCTATCTATTGCTAGCTACCCGAGCGGTCTAAGACAAAGGTCCCGCTCGCGAGCTACTTTCATTTAACTAAGTGGGCCTCGTAACTACACCTATCTTTCTTTCTTGCCCTCTTAGTCTGCTTTTGTTTTGTTTTCTTTGTCTGTCTTTCAAAGGCTTTTTAGGTGGCTAGTAATTTTTCCGCCGCACCAGAACTGGCGCTATATGTACAAAGTTGTTGCACACAGAGCGCCGATAGCGGCACTATGTGTGTGTTAACACCTGTTTCTAAGGTTTTGCCTGGTAATTTTTACCGTCGGTTCCACTAGAAGGCTGGGTGCTACTAGTACTTTCCGACCTTACTACTAGGACCAAAAGAAGCAGGGGGCCACAGACCTGCCACTGCTGCTGTGGCCAACGAAGACCGGCAGTGGCAGGTGTGAAAACGTACCTGCAAAACTGTTTAAAACTGTTTAAAGCGGCTAGTGCATAGGCGGTCTGCTAGGTTTTCTGTAAAACGGCTAATGCTAGGTATTCAGTATTCCCGTTCTTTCGCCTTTCTTCCACCTGGGAATTGAGTTAACAGAAAACCAATGTCAGAGTGTGTGTGTGTGTGTATGTGTTTGCGTCTCTGCACATGAGGTGAATAGGTTAGTACACGATTGGCCCTGTGTGTGTGTGTGTGTGCACGTGTGTTTCAATCAGCCACCTGCAAGCGATACTGATAGTTATATATTTTTGTCAGCATTCCTGGACTTATTTCAACTTATTTTCCCACATGGTCAGTATCAAAGAGCAGACATTTTTCCCTTTGGAACGAAGGAGGCCAAGTGATACAGTGGCATGCGTTGGATGGGGCTCCTTGGTGTTTATGTCAGCCTCCCCAGCCGAGGTTAATCAAGTTCTGAGCTTATACTTAGTCGATGCATGTTGATATTTTAGTAACTGTGTTAAGAATACCTGATCGATTCGTCCGCAACTGCCCAAGCGCAACTTATGAACCCTTAACCTGTCAAGCCGGCCTCGTGTGAGACCCAGATCACGAAGCAAGAAGATAACGCTGACATACGCTGACCACTGACCACTGAGGTGAGTGCCTTTTTGCAGGAGGTGACGACCTTCCTTCAGCAAACCGACTTCGCCGCCACGCCTGGCGCGACAGATCGCTACCCTCACCTCAGCTTGCTGCTGCGCGGGTAGGGCCGTAGGGCCGGAAGAGGTCGGGCGCGCGGCGCTGGGCACTTGGGGGCGCTTGGAGGGGCCCTCAAATCAGGAAGCCCTTAGAAGCCTGGAGCCCAGGCATGTCGAGTCATGATGAACATTAACATGACGAACAATTACCATGGTGGCCATTCTTCTCTTGAAAGTCCTGGGATGGCTAGTAGATGATCCCGTTTGACAGATGTTGTCACATGTGCGATCATTCTTCGCAGACAAGTCTAGATCCACATCCGCATTTGCGACGTGCTGGTGAAATCAAGTGAAATCCTTGTTGAGGTCGCCTACAGGAGGCCAAAACGAACACAGCAAGGCGGGACATTGTTTAGTAAAGCAAGTGTAAGGTTGTAAGGAAACCGTATCCATCCGACATGGCTGCAACACGAGAACAGGGTGAGGGCCTTTGTTTCCCGGCTCCGAATTCAGACCCTGCGTGCGGGTGTGTAAAGAGCAAGGCCTGCTGCATCATCAAGAATGGAAGATCATCCGCGCAAGTTGACCTTGGTTGTTTCGTTCGGGTCACCTGCAGTTCTGCGACAAGGAAACTGCGGCAACTCAGTAGCTGCTAGCAACCATCATGGAAGAACTTGCCATCCGGGAAGATACTACCATAACCCTCAGAAAGCACGCTGCAGCTATGAATCCTTGGACGCAGGCAGATGTTTGGGCAATCGCGTTGAAGCATACCTCACTTGATCATTTTGTATTGCTGTATTGTGGTCAATGATTGGGACGTATGTGTTCTTTCAATTTCCCTTGTAACGATCATTGATGAAAAAGTTGGTGTCCTCGACCATCCTCGAACCGTTTCATGTTCGTGAAGCACCCCAATGAAAGTGGTTCGACCAGGTAGTCACAGTTCGACCTGTTTGCGGTGTCCGACGTTCGACCAAAGTGCGGTCCATGTTTTCCATATTTTTTGGGAACGACCCATGAATGAGTTCATGAATGGGTTCAGTTCATGGGTTCAGTTGACATATTCAGTTCATGAATGAATATGTTCCAAACGGGTTCAGTTCATGTTGACATATTGTGACCTACACCCTTCAGAACTTGAATATTTGCAGAGCCCGAATGAGCTGTGCATGAGCCCGCATGGGGCTGGTCACCCGGGCCCACGACATCGGATGGCCAGCAGATGCAAAAAAGTGTCCGTGAAACCCTATCAGGGGCAAAGAAGAACAGGGTTTGGCTCCTAACCCAGCAGGTTTTTACCCCAACTCACTGAGTTACTGAGTTCTTGGATAGCCAGTGGTTACGGCAAGACAGAATCATGCAGCAAAGCCCCAGTTCGCCGCCAATGAGACCTTCCGGACTTAAAAGGGGGGTCCGAGAATCCGATCCATGGTTGTCCTCATCTACATACTTATAATGAAAATGAAACATATCCCCGGCACCAAGAGGGTACTCAATTCACGCAACTTGGTCCCTGGGCCCTTCGAAATGCTTTTCTTCATTTGTTTGGCTGTTAGGCCAGAGATGGCCAGAGGCTTCAAGACCATCAGGTATTGCTTGGAATATGTCCCTTTTGCTCAGCAGGGCCGAGCATCAAGCATGCTTTTCCCCTTGGAAGGCATCCCGTACAATTCTGGCATAGAAAGAATTACAGCACCCTGACTCGCCAATTCAACAGGTAGCTGCATCGCTCCTGTTTTACCAGACATTTGATGGTCAAAAGATACCGCAGCATTTGGGAAACGCAGAGATCCCCTGACCTTTCTGGTGTTCCACTCATAGGCCGCGCAGGAGTTCATAGCCTTTTGGGGGAGATATCAATTTTCAATTGGACAAAACAACATGGTCTTTCGTGAAATCCAGGTGAGTCATTTGGCGGTTGGAAATGAACGTTTGGGCCATACGCCTGCGCAACGTTTGCGCCATGCACCAGGGTGCACTGGGTCCATCCCAGGTTCAAGAGGGCAGAGGTTCTGGCAATGCCAGCGGAAAACCTGGCCCAGGCACAGCTCTTCTGGTGGATTTAGCATTGGGAGACGGATTCCAATGAATGGAACGGGCCTGAAGTCTGAGGACCCCTGCAAATACATGGTGGAGGTCACCATGGAATAATGCTGTAACCACCCTTAACGCAGGGTGACACCCACATGGACCCTGCGCCAGGGAGAGGCCAATTGATATAATTGATTTGTTTGGGGCGGACGACATGCAAACAGTTTGGCAAGCAATTTGCAATTCAACCAGTTGAAACTGGGAATGGGGACTTCCATGATCGCTCGTGCCGACCTATTGGATATAACTATGTTCGTGAGTGGCGAGTGGCCAGAACTTCTCGCGTCAACGGCTACTACACTAAATTTAAGTCACAGAATTGCGTTACTGGTAGGCAAATGTCAGTGCAGGGAATCTCATGTCATTTAAGATTATGGAGATTGCTTGCGCTTTTGTTTCAATGTGATAAGTTAGTGATAAGTCAACAAGCTCATTGAAGTCTCGCGGTGTTCATTGCAGAGATTGGAGGCATGCATAAGTATGTGTGTGCGTTCTAATCTGTTTCCGGTTGAGGTTTGCGTTTGGGTATTTGGTTGGAGAAAATGATATTGTGACCGGCCAAACATTTGCAGACTGCAGTGCAGGGAAGAGTAACGAACACATGAGCACACGGGTTTACGCCCTTGTATGCAGAACAAGCTTTCACAGCACCATGGAGGGCAACGTAACAAAGCACATAGGCCTGCAGACTAGCATGTACCATGTAAAGGAACAACATGTGGCCTCAAGAGATATGTTCATGGCGTTCAATGTATCCTCATTTGGGCCTGGGCCAGGTTTTCTGACTATGTTTTTACATACATTTGGTTGTTTTTATGTTGTTTTTTATGACACACATCTTTGGGACGTCCCATGTCCATCTCCAATCGTCCCATCCCTCCGCCAGACTGTGGTCACCAGCTGCTGGGGGCCCACCATCGATCAGTTCTTCCAGGCGAACGGTGGAGTTTCACGCGGGTGGCCATGACCGGGATGGCAACCAGGGTGTGCTGATGTGTGGTTGATTTTTTGAGGGATCCAAGTATGTACCTTTTTAGAAGGTGATTGGAGACACTGTTGTGCAGGTTTGGAGGGTCCAGGCGCCGCCTGACTGAGAAGGTACTTGGATTCCTAGGGAATGATTTTGAATGGTGGAAGGTTTCGCTGAACTTGAATGGAAGTCGCTTGTGCGACGTTCATGGCAATTTCAGAGAAAGGATATGCAAGTCCTTGTTTGCACTGGAGCCTTGAAACGAAATGACGCACTCAGTGGGAATCGGAGCCAACCATGGTCAGGTAGCTCACCCTTAGCAACATGGAACGCAACCCTTGGAGCTACTCACTCATGGAGCAGAATATGGGGAGTGTTTGGAGTGGCCGGTTGGCCCAAATGCTATCCAGCTTGGAGTTCAACTGCACCAAGCAAGGCTGGACCAGAATGGTTCATTCGGATTGCCACCACAGATTTGCTGACCCATTCTTGCTCAAATTGCAAGGGCCACGTGTTGTCAGAACCTTCGCTGGTCCACTGGCAGTGGCCAAGCGAACCACACAAACCTGTTTGGACTGGCGAGCGTGCTGAGTACTCATCTCTATATATATAGGTGTGTTTTATTTGGTGGGAGTATGCTAGTGGAAGATGGAAAGATTCAACATCACAAGCATGCACATCTTGACATTCATCCTTGATGTGATAGGTGGAAAAGCATTTGTTTGCCTTTGTAAGTGCTGCGGCACCATCGCTCCCACATCACTTGCCGAGCTTGCCTTCAGGTACGTGCCTGGAGTGCCGCTGGCATGGGGCAATGGAGCGCGTCGAGCGAAGCCATGCAGGTGCGGGGAGCCGAAGGCAAAGGAAGGCAGGATACTCTTGGGAGGCAACACTCCAAACGTTTGAAGAAAGCCATAGGGAAGCTCCAGAGTCGAGCGTCCACAAATTGGACTTCAATTTGTCAAATAAGCAGCCATGGTAGCTAAGTGAGGACAAACCATGAATCTGAATCTATGCATGAGACTCCAGAATGGACCCTATCTCTGTATGTGTTGCTTTCCCATTGTACTTGACCTTGTGCAAGGTGAACCAGTTGAAAAGATGGAATGGATGTTCTGGAAAGCTGGGGCTGTCGGTGATGATTGTCATTCGCATCGGTGATGGGTTGGACCCTTTTTACCCATCACGAGAGTGTCGTTTTTCCACGTCCATCAAGCCAGCTTCCGATCTTGGACTGATGCAGGATTGACTCCGATAGGGAGCTTAGGAAACTTTGATTCCTCATATTGCCCGCCACTTTCAGGTGTTCATCCTGGTTGGTTTTGACGATGTTTCGCATTTAAGCCTTTGAGTCTCAAAGTCGATATGACCGATATGACCGATATGACTCATTGCCAAATTGCCCCCAATATATGTATATATAAAATATAGAATATTATATATATATATACAATTAGTATATTCAATTGACCATTGACACATCTCATGTAAATGACGTGGCTCATAACTGCTGGCTATCCGTGGCTGTCACTGGCCGCCTCCACCCTCCCCCGCCCCCGCCCCCCCCAAAAAGTATAATGCACATAGGATCAAAAGATATCACCCACACGCTCCAAACACCCCTTGCTCCCTCAAATCCTAGAGATTTGCGACCCCAGACCCCTCGTTGTCGCGTTTGGGTCCAGGGTCGCGTTTGGGTGGTTTTTGCGGTTGGCACTTCCCATCTCAGGTCGATCCTGTGAGGCCCGCCCAGCCGCAGGCGGCGGGAAGGGAGCGGAGCGCGGAGCGTGGAGCGTGGAGCGGAGCGATCGTGGAAAGGACAAAGGGTTCAATTGGAAGCGCTGGAAATTCTGAAGCTCAGATTCTTCCGGTTTTTCCGTGAACACAATATAGGACGATAGGCGAGCATGACCAGAAAGGGCTCACTATAGTTCAACTGATGGTTTTCTTATGGGGATTGATGGGCGCGTGTGTGATTGCGGATGTTGTGCAGCCCCTCCCTGCCCCTGTTTGATCGTCCAAGGAGAGTGGTGGATATGAACCCGCTACTCTCAAACTTTTTTGCCTTTGAGCTGGGGGCACCCAGAAAACCCTCTAGCTTGGCTTTTGTCTAGATCTTGACCTGTGATGCTTTCTCCCACACAGGGGACTTCTATGCCCCTTCTGCGTCTCAAAACTCGATGGGACTTCCTCATTGGTCGACGAGGTCCTTCACTGGGACCCTTGAAAAGGGACCTTTTCACTAGAAAGGACCTTTTCAGGGAGCCCTTCTCACGTGAGTCCTTTTTGAAAACACGGAGCATCGCATGTCGTTCGGACCCAGTTCTCTTTGAAACCAATCTCAGCCGCCAGCCATTCCTTCCGAAACCAATCGCGCTCGGCCAGCCGCCCGAGCGCTTCGACTTGCTGCCACGCTCGGTGGTCGTGCACTGGAAAGCGTCGGAGAGCGGCTTGGCGGGCGAAGGAGGCTGGCAGGAGGGAAACCCATAGGCCCAGACCCGAGGATTCTAACCAGCCTTTGCCGAACAAACCTTGTTTGATTAAGGACATTAGATATTAGACTACAAAACCAGGTCAACCATGAATGTTCTATGAATGGTCTTGGAAGGCTAGTGCATGCTGCATATGTTTTACATATGTTAACATCATGTTTCAATCGGTTTATCTCCGACTAGCGGATTTTTGAAAATTGTTGGAGCGTTGATGGATCAGGCCTGATCAGGCTGGATGATTGCATGGTGTGGGCTGGATCTTCATTCGGATTTGCAACTTCATATAACTTTGGGTAGATCAGGCTTGGAGCGGCTTCCCAACCACCTGCGGCTTTCCCAGAACCTAAAAGGCCCCCAAACTTGGAACTTCAGCTGACCTGATCATGTGGGAAACTCATTGGCTCATTGGCCTAGTGAAGATCCTGTACTTGAGAAATAACCAGCATGTGTGATTGCTTTTGTGTAGGGTGGCATGTCTCCCTCCCTCCGCGGTGGAAGAACACCTGAGGTTAGGGGGATCGCTCAAGGAACATGTCGAGGGAACATGAATCCCTTCTCAAATAAGAAAGATAAGAAAGTTCTTTCAATCTAGAAACCTTCTCTAAGAAGGTTTCCAACAGTACTGTAGGTGTTTCTTCAACAAGATAAGAAAGTTATTAGAGAAGGTCCTGTTGGACATGTTCGATGGAGGGCGAAACACCTGCAATACAGCCTGCCTGTGTACAGTGACCAACCCCCCAAGCGGCCCCCCACTCCCCAATGCATCGATTGACATTCGAGTTCAGTAAATCCGTCTTTAGGTGGTACAAGGGGACAAGGCATAGAAGCACAGAATTCGACATGATTTGACCTGCTCCCCTGGAATGTGTTCCCCATTTCTACACATCCAAGAACAAAAAAACACATCCTGATTCCATTCTGATTTGTCCTATTCCTTCTTGGAATTAGGCCGCATCCCTGTGACAGATCGTCATTACAGTCTTCAGAATTCTGATCTCCCATTTGGCTCGACAAGGTTTTAGTTCAGAAGACCTCGCTGGACTGGAATGTTCTGTACATGGTCTTTGACATAGACGCTGCTCAGGGCTGCTCCCGGTTTTCCTGGGGACGCGGCTCCCGCATTTGGATGCCGAACGTAAGTCCTCCAAGGCTATGGTTGCCAAATCGTCGGTTTTGCGCTCCGTTGGCAGCCCCAGACGGTTTTTTCAAAGTCACTTGGACGGGCCATGGGGTCCAGGCTGGTGTTTCGCAGTGGTCAATGTGCCAAGACCCACCCAATCCACCACAGCTGCAGGATTTTGTACGAACCCACATGGAACTCTGCAGGCGAAGGCGCCATGCCCACTCCTCTTGGCGTAAGACCCTCCGACCAAAATGGCATAAGACGCCCGAGGCTATGCCGAGTCCCGTGACATGAGCCGCAGTTGCGAGGTCACGGGCATCAAGGCGACCGGAGAGAGGGTCGCTCCGTTGGACCCAAAAGTGTTGATTTGAAGGCCACATGGAAGTGGCAAATGGATGCATAAGAGTGCATAAGGTCATTCAGAATCTTGAGATTCAGGAGGAAGTTGCCTTCAAACTCACCAAGTGAGCGGGTGTTGCGGCAACACATGCACACTAGATCAAAGCACCATTTCAACATGCATTATCCAACGTGCATATTCCTCCAATGAGAAGCTGCCTCGGGGTCGGGGTAAACTCATAACTGTTGCCCTTCAACTCCACGTGGAAGTGGAAGACCGGCTGTTTGGCAAGGGGACACTTCCAGGGAGCCATTTGTCACTTCCACGTCGCCTTCACTTAGAAGATAGATTTGGATAGATTTTGGGAACGCGGTGAATATGTTCCATCAGCTTTCCAGTTTAATTATGAAATAATGTACCACGACCACCCAGAGAACAAGCATCATGGCTTAATTCATGACGCAGACCCACTAGAGTCAGTTCCAAACATGGTCCTTCATGATCTGAAAGGATGGTTTCGGGGATGTGTTTTGGGTTACCATGTGAAGGGATGGTCACCAATTTGAAGGGATGGTTTCGGGGCCACGTTTTCACACCATCCCCGGGAGTTTGGCTTTGACCAGGGCGATGCCAGCAGCTTCCCAGTGACGAGCCTTCGACCAGCGCAGACCTACTACTTTCAGGCCTTGGCCCGGGTGGATGGCTCGGGTCGCAACATGTGTCCAGTTAACATCAAAACATCCAGATTACTACGGTATTCTGGGGGATCTGTATGGATTTAGCTTGTTGGAAAGCCCTTCTCCCCTTGTTGGAAAGCCTTCCCACCTCCCCTCCACCAGGTGCGCTGCATCAACCTGATGGGCACCTCCGATTGGTCGGATCCCTCGATGCCGGTGAAGATCAAGCAGGACCCGGCAAGGCTATGCTGTATATATGATATTCCGTATATTGTTATATATGCTGTTCTATGTATGGTACATATACACATTATACGTGTGTTACACGCATATACATACACACATATAGTCACGCGCATGCGGCGGCGCATGAGTGTTTTCATGCAGATCGACTGGGTGTGGTGCGGTGTGATAACACACGATCTCAAACTCATCGTTGCGTTGACAGTCACCACCAATGGCTGCTGCTATTCAGACTCCTGGTGGCCGAATTCGGGATTGTAAGAGTTGAGGTCCAAGCAGTGAGATCTTGCACAAGAACAAGGCCCAAAAACCATAGAGAATGTCGGTGATGAAGGTAAGGAGAGTGAAGGTAATTCTTGATGATTCTTGAGATTTACTATGCTGGATCGACTGACTAGTTCCAACCGGGTTTCCGAGAAGGTGCAGTGCCTTGTCCTTCCAAGCAAAATCTGCCTATCGCCTATCGCATGTTTATTTGTGACAGACGTGCAGGAGCAGCTCATGATTCCTCCATCTCAAAGTCCAACATTCAACAAACGCTCCTTGCGATATATATATATGATAATACCCCTCCCGGGGCACCATACTATATTTATACTTTTACCTTTACTATACCATGCTTTTCTGTACTATTCTAACTTACATACATACATATATCCTGAAAAACATCGTTGCCTACATCGGCCAGGATGTGCCGTGCAAAATGTGGCATCCTCAAGCCCGGTGTGTGTGTGTGTGTGTGCGCGGAACCGCTGGCCTGACAAGCCGCTGCGTCGCTGCGGCTCCCCCCATTCGAAAGATGGTGATTTGCACGCTCGTTTGGCTTAACCTGAGAGTGCAGTCCATTTACTTTGTGCTGATCCTGACAGTGGCTGACTGATGTTGAATGCTGATTTGTATGGCATGACTAGCACCAGTGGGCACAGAGACCTGCCTGAAGAGGATGGTGTTCGAGAACACAGATGCAAGCTGCGCAAGCTGCAAAACAATGACCAGGTTGTGGCCAGGTGCGGCTTTGCAAGGTTAAGCCCACTTGATTTGATCAGATTAATTTGAAGAGTCCTCCTCGTGCACATTATATAGATAAATGGCGAGGTTGTCACCAGGCTTCAGAGTGGCCACAAACTGGGGATCAGAGGTTTCAGTGTGTTTGGATGTTTTCAATCCTTTGGGGTAAGTATGTCCCACTGCCTTTGGACTACTACATTCAAATCTTGTTGTACTCACATCATATATTTATATATATAATATGTGAAATAGCTCGATCGATAGACAGAGGACTAGAGAGACAGAGATGACGAAGAGAAAGGTCGTGCATGTACATGCACCATCCAGAGAAGGTGTATGATTGTGTAGGGTCTTTGCTTATTCTAGCATATGGAGATTCTCGATGGACCGTTTGCTTTGGGCTAAGGTCCGCTCCGGTTCTGATCGAGAAGTCTGCTTGGTCCTCAAGGGACGTCAAGGTTTGTTCTTTGGTCAAGACATCCCTTGGACCAGTGACAAGGCCAGACTCTAGATGCTGGCCCAGTAATGCTTCAGTGTAGTTTAGCATGGTGTGAGGCGTGCCCGGCCTCCGTCAGATCTCAGACTCACGACAGACCTTCTATTCTGATATCTTGGGTGGAAACAGTGGAGCCTATGGGCGTGAGGAGTTCCAGCCATCGACCATCCAGCCACCGTTTTGGCTCGAGCCGTGCCTTAAAAGTATCTCTACTACCCGGCTTGGAGGGTTACGGCTAGAAAATAAACGTAGTGTGATCAGTTGCTGTCATTTAAGTTTTTGCATCGAATAGTTTGCATGTTCGGCAGCTTGCAGCCTTTCAGAGGATTGTAGCATCCTTGTGGCCGCCCAAGAGGTCGCTACTACGGAGCTGTGGGGCAACATGCAGATATATTATACCGCAGCTAGGTTTAAGATGGTCAAGGTATGTCTAGCTGAACCACGCTCCATTAAGTTTTTGAGACCAGCTGTTGCCCAGTTAAACCAGCTTTACCCTGCTTTCCTTTAACTTGTAGATACTTATAGCCAGCACACTGAGAGTCGCATCCTTTCACTGGGAGTATGGTGTCCCAAACCCTTCCGGCCAAAATGGCCTGTTGGACCTTCCTCATGAAGTGATGCGTGTCCAAGTGGCCCTTTTGAGCGGACATGCCGCCTTCATTGAAGCAGAAGCTGATTGGAGTATCCAGAAGTTTCGGCGTCGGGCGCAGGCGGCCAAAGCTGCATTGGTTCGGTTGGGGGGAGGAACTCGGATCGACTTCTTCTTGAGGAAGGACCAATAGGGAAGGGTTTGTGCTCACTATGTGTGCGTGTTTGTTGTGCAGCCCACAGGATTACTCAGATTTGCATAGGCATCGACTGACATCGACTTTCGACAATCGTTGACTCATCGACTTGTTCCACAGAGAGTGCGGGAGGGGGTACGTAAGAGATCATGAGAGGATGTCTCCTGAGATGGCGAAGCAGAGAGAGAGAGAGGGTATCTTCAACGTGTCCCCCTTTGCTGAAAACTTCTATAGATGCATTTAGATGTGTATACATAATAGTCAGAAGCTCAGAAATATCAAAACAAACAAGGCCAGAAGTAGCTGGCTCATTTGGTCTTTCGCCAAGGACGAGCTGGAGGTCGGCCTTAGCAAGTTGGTCAATGCCAAAGGAGAGCTCCTGAATCTTAGCTAGACGTGGCCTTGGATACCCATCAAGACCTGTGGGGCCACTATTTTTGGGATGACTATCCACAAGCTTTGGTCAGTTATGAACTAAATGTCCTCACAACTTTGGCAACCTTCCCACTTGTCCACAGATTGAAGGGATTTGATCAGTCTAGGTTCTTTTGTTGTTTCGCATGCTTTTCTGTTTGAAGTTATGGTCATTGCCCTTGTCATAGGAAGGACAGTCAAAGGCCCACTCCCAGTCATGGGCAAAAACCTCCCGAGCATCCTCCACGTTAGCCTCCGGATAGGGTTTGAGATATTTGCATATATATATATATATAGAGCAATCCTTTGGAACATGCATCCCAACAAACAGATTCACACATCACGGATTCTACACAGCTCTACACAGCCATGAGGTTCTCAGAAAATCGACGGAGTCCTCAAACATCCTCAAACTTGGTTCCCAGGATGGGAGCCCAGCTTCTCCGGGATGTGGTCCAAGAAGACGAGACGTTGCATGCAACGGTCCGCCGGCCGCGCATTGTCTCCAACCGGCGAGCCCACGCCTTTGCATGTGCCCAGACGAGTGCAGAGGGGGTATAGATCTTCAAATCCCTTTGGGATGGAGTTAGTTGCAAGTCCAACAAGTCACCAACCTCCAGAAGAATGGGGCCCAGTGCTACACATAAACCCGTTTGTGGGATTTGGTGTTTTGGCTTAGCTACATCGCGTTTTGAACCTTAAGCAGGCCCCGTTACAGACAGTTCGAACATGTTCAAATAATTTCAATTATATATATATATGTACAGAGATGACTGGCCAGAAGGTGAGGGCTTCCATACCTGTGGCACGCAGCTACTTCGTTGCTCCTGTATTCTGAACAACTTGAAGATTAGAAGATTCGTTTCAGAACCTGACCATAGATTCCTTGGATAATGAGGGAATCCACCCAGCTGTTGTGTAGAGATCTACCGCGTTTCACCGGCTTGACGTTGGGAGTCTTGTTTTTGCACAGTCGACCAAGTAGACCCAAGTGTATCGGTCCAAGTCCGTTGTCGTCCAGTGGACTGATACGGCCAGAGGAAGACAGCAGCTGTTGCAGCTGTTGGATTGGTTTGCTTTGTTTGTTCCAATCAACTCCTTTGTTCACACATATATATATATATATACATGTATCTTGTAAGGTAAGGCAATGCAATGTCATGTAATCATATGTCATGCATTATAATGTAATAATGTGTATATATATACATACATACATTTCTGTGCTTTCCAAATAATTGGCCCGAAAGACAAACAGAATCCCTTCACAAGAGCTTTATAACAGAATATATTATAATAGAATGACTGCATACATTTGTTTGGGGTGTACCTACTCTTTCTCGTTACCAGTCAGTCTGATTCATGCTATGTCTTAGCAACACCTTTTACCACCAGCAAGCATATCCACAATCCTTGTTCTTGGTTCCAAGAATGTGTGCGTACAAGATCTGCACAATGTTGTACATTTGTCTTTCAGCAGCGCAAGTTTAGGACTAACTCGTTGTCTATGTTCAGCCAAAATCTATATACATATTGCTCTTTAACATGACTAACTAGTCCAAATCAGCAAGATACACTGTAAATACCAATGAACTTTGAACATAGCATTGGTGTTTGAGGGGGTATATACGGTACGCATATACAAACACACGCACAAACATTTGGCAAGCTTGTAAAATGATGGGGGTTCATACAGCTACGGTGGACATGGTTTTGATGCAAGTACATTGTTTGTCCGCGCGGTCACTTTACATGTGAAACACGGCTGTGTTTGTTCAAAAGATTAATAAACAGTAGACATAGAGTTCCAGTTCTAGTAGCTTGGAGGCCATCGCTATTAGGTTGGAGGCCATCGCTGCTAGGGTGGAGGCTATCAAACTTCCGACGTCCGGATTCACCCGAGTAGCACAGAGGCATTTGCATGGATGGCTCGGTGCTTGCTTGGGGCGCTCAGGCCGCAGGAGATTGCAGCGGCTTGGAAACACAGGGCTTGGGAGGTGGGCAAAAAGACCCTTTGTGAAACAGGCACGGATTCACGGATTCATGTTCACCCCAGTGATGTATAAAAGAAACCTTGTCCTGTGGACATGTCTTTCAGCAAATCCTTAATATGCCGAGAGGTGCATGATGCAGACAAGGGTTCATCGGGCTACCATTTCTTTCCACCACCAGCGACCGACACATTGAGTGCCAGCCCCAGCAAGAACAGAGAGTGATAGTGCTTGGAAGAAACCAAAGCAACCTTCGCTAGCCCGGCCCTTGGCCACAACCGGAATGAAGTGAGTTGTAGTGTTTAGAGGACACAAAATATTCTCCGGCATCCCGCAACAAGCACGAAGAGTCCTGTCGTAGTCCACGCAACAGCTGTAGCATGCTGCAACAATATCTCGTAGACTCATACAGATTTATGAACGCAAAGTCCGCTAAGTAAAACTCTACGGTCCGATATCAACGGGCCTTTCAAAACAAGCCTCCCGCCACAAGCAGGCTTGAAACCAGGTACTCGTAGGAGCAGTGTGTTGAGTTGTTGGGGGATTTCAGTCTTTCCCATTCCTTGTGCCAAGGAAGTTGGTTGAGGCTTTGCTTTGTAGGAGTTGCCGGTGAAGTGGAAGGTGGATCTAAAGATGGAAGTGGGCAGAATCGCTCTAAGAAGGGCAGTTGTCCTTTGCCCAAGCTTCACTGCGAGAGCTAATTACTGGCTTTTTTTTCTATGAACAACCTGGCCATCTACCTGGTCAGCGTTTACTTTCCTTCATTGGCCCATGACATCCCATGCTAGCTGCTAGCTGTTCATGCAATTGGAGAACCCGGATTAATCCAGGTTGCCCGATTGTGAGGATGGCTCCCGCGGACAGCATTACCAGAGCTTAAAGCCTGTGATAGCCGCTGATAGCGTGTGTTTTTCCGTGCCTCAACTGAGACCAAGAGAAAAGATAAACCGATCAGTGATCAGATCAACTTTGGGTCTCAGGATAGAAGCTTGAGACCAATCTTTGGTCCAGATGGACATCCCTGTCGCTAGTAAGATACCGTGTTGCAACACCCTGGGGGACGCACCCTGTGAGCCCCATTTTCTTGCTTCCGCCACAAGAGAGCAGAGCTTGGCCGTTATGCTAAGTTATGCCCAGGCCATGTGCGAGAGACTTGCTTGCAGCGGGCCATGGGCACCGCCTTGCATAGGCTTTTGAACCCAGAAGCTCACAGGTCCCTCATGGCCATGTACTGCTGCAGTAGATGCTGGAGGCTCCGGTGGAGAGTATAGTAATATGTATAAATCAGAAAGCCAGGTTCAGGGGGTGTCTATGAATGAATGTGTCATTTAAGCACAGGCCTCCTACTCTAGAAGCTGTTCTTTCAAGCGCAATTTTCTTGCTTGAACTGCTGATCCAGCTGGCACTGGATCCAAATGACCTATCAGGGCGAAGCTGTCTCCACTACATATGGGTGAGTGCGAGTGTGCATTTCAATAGAGAGAAATCCAATCAATGGGTTTTGGTCTATTTCTCTGCTTCTGTTTTTTTGTGGGGAGGTCATCCTATTTTAGTACACACCCATTTGTCCACTCCACTCCACTCCACTCGGACAGGAATGAAACTCTGCAACCTTTCCGAGTCTCCCAGAAATAGGATTGATTTTGGGAAAGTCTGCAGGACACCTTTCCTAGTTACCCATCGTTTTGAGGATCAAAACGGTTCTAAATGATTTAGTTTTTTTTTACCGTCGAGTTCCCCTCAACCCAATCATACCCAATCCATTGATCTTCCTGGTGCTTCACCTGGTCAGATTCCCCTGCTCGCTGTTCCACCTGGTGCCTCCAACGCAGCACTCAGGATCAGCTGAAAGAGGTGACCTCCCTGAGCGCCACCGCCGGTGCTTTCGCAGCACTTCTGGAGAACGGCGAGGCACCGGAGAAATCGACATGGAGAAATGGGATGGGGTGATGAGCTAGGCAGCTAGGCTGATGTTCGGGGAGCACATGATAACATCCCCTAGAACTATTTGATCACCATGAATCATTTGGGGGTTGCTCAGTTGGAATGGGAAGCTGCTGGGTGCAGGGTGCTGGAAGGGGATGAACATGATCAAAGACTCAAATCATGTACACTTGGCTCACCCATCACATGGCTCACCACGCATCCCACGCTTTTGGTGAGATCTCTTGAGTCTGTGGGCATCGGCTTACTCGTCACCTTCCGATCCAGGTCGTCACCTGGGGCGATCACATCTTCGGTACCTTGCGCTGATCGCCTTCTCGGGTGAAGGAGGAGTTCCGGTGGAAACCGGAGTTCGGCACTCCCCCTTTTTGGAACATCTTGGGAACCCAGGCGAATCGTCCTGGCAGTTGTTTGTCAATTGAGGTGTTGTTCTGACATGTTCTGCCCGTTTTGGCCATATGTGTGGGGGCAAGAATGGACCGGAGAGCGGAATCTGAATGCATACTTGATGGATCTTGAGCGCCTGTACGACAAAGAAATGGTTCTGTGATCAATCCATCACGTGTTCATTTTATATGATCTCATATATATAATGACTATTTAAGTAGACTCTAAATGTATACGTGCTCCTTCTCAGCACCATCATCTCACAACCATGGAAGCACGACCAAATCATATGCACGAGCCTAGCCCCCCTCAACCAACTCATTTCTGTCAACATGTTTGAACCGAGCATTTGGGGGCACGAAAGTGGTGGGTTATTTGTTACACATTTACCATCATCCGCTCCCTTTTCCTGGACACACAAAGCACCGACGTGCCCGATGGCGTGAGTGGACAAAGCGACTGATGGCGGACCAAGCCGCGCCCACGAGGCGGTGACACGAGCTCGTTGAGAAGCACGCTGAAGGAGGTCAGAGAGACTCTTGGAGTCGCCACAGGGATGAGAGCTAACGCTGAGTGCGCCGGGAATTACAATCCCTGTGATGTGGATGAAATGAAGTACTGACCCAGAAAAATCATGATTGATTGACCCTCACTGCTTACAACTCCTGTCTTGAGCATATCATGCCGTTCTAAGGGTTCAGGCCACTGCCATGGCCTTCGCCGCTTTGCGCGCAGATGGGACAGTCATCACCTGGGGCAGCAGCCATGTGGGCGGCAACTGCAGCCGTGTTCCTGGGCGTCGCAGCCGTGTTCGTTGCGTTTAGAGAAGAGAGAGACCTCCAAGTCTTGGATGTTCAAGAGATCCCCAAGTCGTGGATTCTCAGCACCTGAAGTGCAGCACTCAAGTGCTGAACTGGTATTGCTTTGTTGTCACAACTCACATAGAGAGTTCATACGTCAGCATTTGGAGCCCTCAACGGAGGGATCCGTTCAGCATCGTTCAGCCTTTAGTTGGTCCAGTTTTTGTCAAAGACCATGGAGTAGGCAGACAAGATAAAACGAATGAATACATCATTCCGAATCATTCCATGACTGTTGGTATATATTTCTTTGACCAACTCTCCTGGCCAGTCCATCTTCGAGGTCCTTCTCGGTCAGCATGGTTGGACATGGGCCATAGGAATGTTTCATAAGACATGGGGGTATGGACACTGTGACAGTCATCAACAAACACACATGTGGAGAATGGTGGAAACAGGTACATGTTCACCACAGCCATCACCGCAAGTGCTTTGCATCCCCTCCCAGCCTTGGTGATTCGTGGGCTTTTTGGTCAGGTTCAAGGCCACCTTCGGCAAGTCCAAAAGCTTTTTGCATCTGCCGGGGCTTTCGCGGCTTTGCGGGCAGACCAAACTGTGGTGACCTGGGGCCAAGCAGACTTCGGGGGCGACAGCAGCCAAGTGCAACACCTACTGAGGAAACCTCCCGGTCTTTTCAGAGCGCTGCGGGCGCGCCGGGCTTTGCTTGTCTCCCATTTTGATGTCCGATGTTTGAAGGATCGATCACGGGGAACCCGGGGGACTTTCCGGGGATCACGTATTGGTTGGGTTATTGTTGTGACCGATCTGCAATTGTGGCCTTCAAATCCCCAAGAGTTTGATACGTTACAATATGGATGACTTTGCGTTGACTTATCCCCTCATCGAGATGCCCTCCTAGAGTCATGCGTAGAAATGCCAAGCGCGAGAGTTGAGGGCCTCTTGTAAATAAGACACCCAGATTGGTGTGGACGATTTACGGCCGGGGCTCATGTGATTCCACCTCTTGGGAAAGGGCATTCACGCAGAGCCAAGCCATCACTTCGCAGAAATATGGATGGTGTTTTACACCTTTGAACCGGACTCCTTGGGGCACCGCACCCATTGGCACCAAGAGCTTCACAACAGTTGCACCCATTGGCACCAGCAGGAATGTCCGGTGCATCCAGCCCTCCTCCTTTGCCTTCGCTGCCATCTTGGAAAATGGCTCCGTGGTGACATGGGGAGAGCCGATGTCCGGTGGAGATTGCAGCCGTGTGAGGCAGCACCTTCAGGATGTACAGCAGGCAGGGGCCCCGGGTGGTTCTCACAAATTCTCATGGGAGCATGTTTTTCCATTTGCGGCAGGTTTTTGGCAGACCCAGACCGCAATGCAGCGATGGCGAACAGCAAGTACTGCACCATGTGGGAAGGTGTAAGGGCTTTCTCGATCATGTCATGTCCGCATTGGTTCTTGATTCGCTGCCCGTTCGGGATTGATTCATTTCACACTTCTTGTAGAGTCGGGAGTAGCACTCTGGCAGGGAAACATGAACGGTAGGACTTGGCAGTGATGGTGGTTGCCGCTCTTTAAGGTCCGATAGGTTCAAGTTGCAAGAAGGGAACAGTTGCAAGTGTGTTTGTGGCTGGGTGGGTGTGGTAGGCTGCCTGCTTCAGTTTAAGGAATTCTGCAGTCAAGTGAAGAATCTTGGTGTGGTCCTGTGCCCGATGGGAGATTGTTTATTCAAGGGAATGAAATCATCCCTTGTTCATTGTTCTAGATTCTATGTGTCTCGCTACCTACCCTTGTTTCATAACCTTGCCCACATCATCCCACATCTAGCTCCTCAGCTGTTCGAACCTCCTCCAGGGCGAATCAGGTTAGGTGGGTTCAGTGGGGGGCTCACACCAGCCCTACTCCGCTCCCTTCTGGGCGCGCTGTTCCGCAAGGCTGTCCGATCGCCCCGACTATCTTAGGTTTTGTGGCTACCGCTGGCCTACGGAAGGTTGAGTCTAACCTTGGTCATGATGCTGAGCGTAGCTGTACTTCCATTTACATGGATGACAGAACTTGGTGGGCTAAAGATTGGCATGAAGTTGGTCCTCGCGTCCAGGAATGGGCTCGGTGGTCCGACTCTATCGGTTTAAAGGAGAACAATCGCAAGACTCAGGTTTGTGCGCGGCGCTCTTTTGACAATGACCCTTGCCCGCCTGAGTGGAAGGTTTCTGAAGTCAAAGCCCTTGGGGTCTCTACCACGTCCAAAGTTCGTAAATATACGATTGGTGAGCAGGAGAGATTGGACAAGGCTGAGAAGGCTGCTTCGCTGTTGGTTGGTGCGTCTCTGCCTTGGACTAGGGCTGTGGAAGCTTTTAGATGCTTCGTCTTGAGCATTGGGGCTTATGGTTGGGTCTGTAGGTCTCCCACCCTCACGTCCGGTGATCGCCTCTTGAAATCTTTCAGGCGTGTTGTTGGTGGCAAGACCCGAATGGCTAGTAAATGGCTTCTCATGCTCTTTTTCGGTGGATCGCTTCATTTGGTGAGTGCGGTGATCCAACGGCTGTGGGGTACACTAAGCAAGCTTGACTTACCTTGGTGCAACTCTTACGCTTCGCCTGTTGGTGTGCTTCGCAGGCAATTGAAAGGGATTGGTTGCAGTGAGGTGCGCCCTTGGACGTGGCGTTGTTACAGCGGTGTCGAGGTGCAACTTTTTCGGTCTTCTGACCGTCGAACACAGGGTCTCTCTGCTCAAAGGCATGAATTGAGAATGCAGTTTCGGTGGCACGCTTTCGTTCAGTGGCTTCGCTGTCAAAGACATGAGGTCACGCAGCTTTTGCAAGATCATTCAAAAGAAAACTTGGAACAGTTTTTTCGCTGTGTCGATATTGGCTTCACACGTAAGCGTATGGATACGGACTCTACCTTTAGGCATGTTGCTCTGGGGGCCTCTGTGTCCCCGGCTTTGTATGACCCCGCTTTGCAGGATTGCCCCTTCTGTCAGGGTAGACTCAGACCGTCTTGGATCCACTTGGTGTGGCATTGTGAGCATTTTCGCGACTGTAGGCCTTCTAGGCCCCGTAACCCCCTCACCGCTAGGTTTGGTTGGGCCTCTGGCCCGGCAGATTCGGCTGTCATGGATCATCTCACTAAGGTGCAGGAAGCCGTGTGGCGTCTTCGCCACGGGGAGGAGCGTTGATGCGCAGCTAAGGACTTTGCGTGCTGATAGCAACTCAAGGGCTACAGCACCTACAACTCCATATATAGGTGCGAGCCACAGCTGCAGCCTTTGCTGCAATTAAGCAGGATGAGACCGTGGTTACTTGGGGCTGCGCCGAGCAAGGTGGCGACAGCCAAGCAGTCCAGGCACAGCTGCAAAAAGTCCAGGCCGGGGGACCGACCAAAATCCGACGAGTGTTGTGTGTGTTTTTTGGGTGCTAGTGCTTCAACAAAGGGTTGACTCTAGATGATATCACTGATATCCACTATAGGATCCACTATAGTTATAGTACATTTTGGAGGTGAATAAACAATAATAAACATTCCAAGTGGTGCAGGAGCTCTTCCCTCAAGAGTAGGTAGATTCTACGTTCTTGCAACATCTCCTGCTAGGCTTCAATGGAACTGGAACTCTTGGGGCCTGGAAGTTTCTCTCCAATCGAATTCAACAAATTCAGCTGAGTACCTCCAATATCCCCCAATCACTTGGCATCAAGGCCTGGACTGGCCCCAGACCATGGACCGCCAGACTGACCGGCAGATGGGCGCAAAAAAAGAACCGACTGAGCAGTCCTTTGATGTCAAGAGTCAGGTCGCGATTTCCGTAGTACTTCATCACTGATATGGGTGTGTGTTTTAATCGGGAGACCCCGTTGGTTGTTTTGGTCTATTTTGTTCTTCCACGGGGTCGAACCGGGAGGTCTCCCCATTTTAATAGACATCCACCTATCATATACCACTTTTGCACGTGGACATGATGACCTCGAAGAAAGACACAATGACGGCGCGCGGTTTTGATGTGGGGATGCCGCTTCAGGACATTGAGGCGAGCAGCCGCTCCTTTTGCGCGTTGCTGGCGGATGGCCAGGTGGTTGCTTGGGGCGACCCTGCAGCCGGAGGGGATTGCAGTCAGGTGCAGGTGCCCCCCTGACAACAGCTTTTTTGAGTGAAGGCGATGGATTTGGCCACCCACAAAATGCCAAAGATCCGCCATCATGGATCAATCTTACCAAACATATTTTTGCAGATTCGTGAATCGAGGTTCAATCATTCAGTTACCTCACGTCGCATCAATGAAACAACCGCATCATTACTGAGTCATGTAACCACTGAAAAACACCGCACCACGGAGAAACAAGCACGCTTGCCAGGAGCAGCTGAAGGCCTTCCCCATCCTTCAAATGAAAGCCTCTTCTGCGGCCTTTGCAGCAGTGAACAGCCAGGGCCGTGTCGTGACCTGGGGGGACGCAGCCTTGGGTGGCGACAGCCGACAGGCGTGCTTGCGGCGTGCAGCACCCGCACGTGCACGCGTGGACGAAGTGGGAAGGAAGTGGTGAATTGGAGATGTTCTGAGCTGAATTAGTCAGGCGAGATCAGCTGAAGAAACTTGTGAGTTGAAGATGTTTGAAATGTTTTGTTGCGGCTACTTACTGGCACTGGCGGTGTTTCTCAAGGTTTTCCCATTCATTATCCTTTCCTTGATCCCACTCTGAGAGGGCCAGTAAGGAGTGATAGAAGATGATAGAAGCTCCTCCCCATTCACGACTTTGGTCATCGAGAGTCAGCGCTTGACGCGGAAAGCAAGTAAGGCGGCTGTTCCTTCAAGCAACTGAGGGTGACATCTTAGCAAAGTCCAGTAAAGCAATGCAGTGCAGCTAGCAACGTCCGGGTCCACAAGCCGCTCCCGTTGAAATGGGAGAAGCACGTACAAACAGAAAGTTAGATTTGAGGTGTTTTGAGTGTCTAGACGCCGTACCAACCACAAAAAATGACACCCTTTGGGTCCGGTAGGAAGGTTTCGATGGAGATTTTGATAAGAATTTGTCTCATGTGTCTCACATGATCTCACATGCCATGTTTCTCCCACTCGACCAGCACACAACGACCACAGCAACGCCAGAGTTGACCGACTCTTTCATTTGTTGAGCTTCCGAAGAACCCTGTTGACCTCCTGTCGAAGAAAACGGAGACACGTTTCAGACCCTTTAGACTCGATGGTGGCAAGAACGACACACGGGCGGAAGGCGATGACAAGAGGATTGGGGTGATCCTGTGGTCGTTTGCCTTTTCAGGGTCCGTTGCCGCTTCAGGTGCAAGCGCAGCTGGAAGGTGTTGAGCTCTTGCAAGCCTCAGCGGGCGCTTTCGCAGCGATGGTCTCCAGCTCCTTGAATGCCGAGTGATGAATGCAATTTGTACATGCATTTCTCTACACCTATTATCATATTGTACACGCGCAGGGGTGTGTATATATCTATACTAATTATATACTATATATTAACATATTTGATCATATTTGTTTTTATATACATACAAATGTGCGTGTAATATGTACACACCCATATATATATATAGTGTATATATATATATGCATATACTACACTCGAGTGACTAAGGAATTAACGGAGGCACATGCCAATGTTAGCATCCTTACCCATCAGACACTTACTGTTTTGCAAATTTGCTGCAAATCCTTCTCATCACCCCAAACATGGTGAACATGACCAGAATTTGAGCATGCTCGAACAGTTTCTAAAGGATCATGTTTTGGTGGTTTGTGCACCCAATGCCCGCATGAGTTATGAGTTGTGGTCCAGATGAGAAGACAAGTGTCAGATTTGGACGCAACAGATTTATTAAATATATTCATATTGGTTTAGTGAACACAGAGAAAGCTGCCTGTTTCGTGTTTGTATGGTGTTGCCACAAATCCTTACTCATGTTCTTAGTGTGAGTGTGCCTGCGCTGATTTTTGAACGTAGTTTTTTATTTCCCTGGCGGGGTGGTGTGGCGTGCACAACTCCTCATTCATATGCCTGCCGTATACGCTTCTTGGACATTTTTTATGTTTGCTGACACATGTGTTAGGAGTTCCTGCACCTACAACCCAAATTCTTCAGACGCACAAACCCTGACTCACCAGAGGCTAGAAAAAATATATATCACATATATATATATATACAATTATTACACATGTGAGATAAACTATGTGAGATAAGCCACATTGCATAGAGCGATAGCCGGTTGATTTTATTTTGTGTGCGCATACATACATACAAACAATCATACATACATACATACATGCATGCATACATACATACATACACACACATACATACATGCATATATACATACACACATACATGCATGCATACATACATACATACACACACAGACATACACACATATATATATATACACATACATATACACACACACATACATACACACACACATACACACATACACACACATACATACATGCATACACCAATACATCAATACATACATACATACATACACATACATACATACACATACATACATACATACACACATACATACATACATACATACCTGCATACATACATACATACAGACATACATACACACACAACCACACATACACACACATACATGCATACATCAATACATGCATACATACATACATATACATACATACATATACATACATACATACATACATACAAACATACACAAACATACATACATACACACATACATGCACACATGCATGCAGATTTACATGGATATATATATGTATATATATATGTATACACATAGGATTTTTGCGCACACGCATGCGCGCACACACACACACATACACCGGCGGCCGGGTGGGTTGTTCAATGGATGCTAGACATAGATTCGCCCTCGAGTACATCTAGAGAATGGAACAGCAAAAACAATACCGACAAGTGGTCCTTTCGGAGCCTTCTGGTGCACATCAAAAATGCAACAGTCAGAGAACCAAAACATGGTTCCACGTTGGGAGCGTTCCATATCACCCTTCGAATGATCCAATGATCGGTGAGACGTGGTACTCGCTGCGAAGTGCTACGCTTAAGAGTTCAGAAGCCTGCAGGTGAAGAGTATGTCCAAATATGTTTTTAAATGGATTTTTTATGCTTTGGATATGATCTGGGAGTATGTTTTTTTTACATGTTTTTTTTTATGAAGCCGCAATTGGAATATGCGGTACTGTTGGGGCTCACTGTGCCCTTCCTGTGACCATGCAACCGCCCCTGGAAGATCTCAAGGATCCGGTTTTGTGGCTCCTGTTCAATATTCCTGGTTGGGTGTTTTACGCGGGTTTGGGGGTACTTGTGAGGAGGGCCCAGGGCTTAGGGCGGGGCGTGTGATGGCAGTCCCCTAGAGGCCCGACACCAGACTCACACCTTTGTGCAAAGTGTATTCTTCCCCATAAACAAAACCTGGAGCTCTGGAGCCACCATATTTTTTCTGTAAAGAATTCACATTAAATCCATATTGTTGGAGAAGGGTGCAAATCATATAGAAACCATATGAAACCATAAAACACACAGTGTTTTATTGTTTTTATGTGATTTTTACTTTTCTCTAAACGATAAAAAAAATAAAACACAGTGTGTTTTATGGTTTTTATATGATTTGCATCCTTCTCCAACAATATGGGTTTTAATATGGATTTTTTATGGCCTTTCTCAGGCCCTATGAGGTGAGCCGAAGCACGTGCCAGACATACCCAAGTGTGTTGCCTGGGGCCTAGGGCGCCACAATTTTCCAAGTTCTGTGACAGGTCTGACAGCCCCCTACATGAGAGTTTCCAAGTTCCCCTATATGAGAGTTACCAGTTTGCCCACTGACAACACATGCTGCTTATTGCAGCCCTGGAGCACCTATTTAATGAGCCTATTTAGTAAATTTAGTAGTCCTCAAGCCATAAAAAACCAATAAACATAATTTCAAATTTAGCCGTTTTCACAACCATTAAAGAACCATATCTTCAGACCGTATAAAAAAAATTAAAAAAACTGCTACGCTACTCACTACTGTATTGGCTACTCTTCGCCACTGGAGTTTGCCTGGTTGGAGGACCACTTGTGTTTGCCCCTAGCTCGAGAACACAACTCATGCTCATGATTCCTTCCCACCTTCAACCATATGTTCCCAAAATGTTACGGCTTGTGTGATCACCCCAGGTTGCTCGGACTGGGAAAACTGCTCTAGTCTTTTTCAGCAGGTATCTCTCCTCAGGAATTTTCAAGCGTTTTACATCACAGATAGCCTGAAACACTCTAGTAAGTAGCGGTAGTAGTCGTCGTAGTAGCAGTGGCAGTGGTGGTGGTGATAGTAGTAGAAGATGATGATGGGCTGTGCCTTTTTGAGGAGTCCCTTTTCGTTATGGATTTGACAAGCCCTTGCCAAGCCCTTGCAATGCTCCTTTCAGCTTTGCGGGCAATCGCTAGGTGGACAGATCGTGACCTGGGGAAGCCCTGATTGGGGCGGTGCCCCTCCGGACGCGAACCTTCTTCGGCTCTCCACGCTGCGAGAGAAGCGTGCGCGGCTGGAATGAGAGGAGCTTGTACAAGAGAGGGGTCCGGAACAGAACGTTGAACATGAATGATGAGTGATTTTGAATGATTTTGAGTTGAATACGATATAATAAGAATAAGTTCCGGCCACATGGCCACCTGGTTTTTGCTTTTCCTCCTTGTTTGCCTGAAGCTGGGTTTGGTTCCTCGGATGTTGATATATGCCGTGTATACCAACAAATAGTTCGGCCCTCGGCGCCTTGATGTACAAAGAATCGGCCTTGCCAAGATGTTTGCCCCAAAGTGGTCATCCTCAGGCGAGCAAGGAAAAACCAACGGCACGCGTGAGAGTGCGCCACAAGCAGCAGAACCATTTTTGGGGATTTCCAAGTTTGTTGCAACCTCGGGCCATCCTTGTTGATTCTGATGGGGTCGCTGCATTTCTGTTAGTTTCCTTCTCAGATTGGATGTGCTCACTATTCAGGGTTCAAAAAACAGGAGGCACGGCGGGGTGACATCAACAAGATCTCCAGCACCAGGGGATCCACAGAATCACCCGGACTATGTATATAACACGATATTTACAGACGCTCACGCTGTTTGGTGATTTGTCGGGTTTCTCCCAGTGTTTTTGCTTGGAGACAGTGAGGCCAAGCACGTGAACGTGAGCAGGGAGCCCAATGGAGCTCACATTGGTTTGCAAAGACCGGGGAGGGAACAGAACCAAAACAGTACTGTACTCTCCTACGCCCGGTAAAACTACAGATATATAGAACTTCAAAAAAGACACTGGAAGACTAGTTTCACCCACAACAGTTACAAACCTTATAGAGTTTAAAAATACTTATATACCTTACCGGCTGTGTCCATCTCTCGCCAACAATCTTGGGTCCACAGACAAGGCTTTTAAGTTCCACTGTTCCATATTTGGAGGGAATGTCTTTGGCCTGGTCGGTGAGCTTCAATATCAACAGCCTCAGCAATTTGGAGAGCGAACACTCAAATCGAGATGTTGTTTGCAAGGAAGGTCCCCCAATTTGCTGGCAAAGAGTGATTTCAAGATTGCCGCCCCTTGAAAGGAGCTATGGTTCTATTTCAATTGGCAATGACTATGGCTATTATGTACTTTGACAACGAACACATTCAGGGACCTGATGGACTGAGAAGACTGGGGCGACTGGCGTTTCAACCAGTGTGACCTTTTCACGTGTTTGGGGGTCCGGATTTTGGAAAGAAGTACCGGAACTGGAGCCGATTCTTGGGCAGAGGGTCAGGACGGTCGGGACTGTCGCTGTCCTACCTTGATGAGCTCATGGGGTCGTTGTGAGGTTTCCAGCCACCTGCTGACTTTGGCACCTTCGACGGGGATTTAGCTCCTTGGTGACCACGTGGAGCGACACCGTGTCGCTCACCTCGTTGGTGCTGTACGTGCCGTGGTTTAGGCGGATGGTTGGTTTGTTTCGTCGGGCGTTTCGTGGTATGTTCTTGGAACGTTGAAACATAGGGGTAACTTTGCAGAAAGATGGTTTTTCATGCTTTCTCATTGATTTGAGTGACAAGAATGTTGATGTTGATGTTTGAGACTGAAAGCTGTTCGGAGACCATCACATCATCCGTTCGGAAACAGACGCATGACTCCACATGACCATCTAAGGCTGGTGAAGGGTAAATTTTGGTAGAAGGAAGAATTGTATAATTAGTTAGGAAAATAGTTAGGAAAGCCTCAACACAGACTTTTGCTCAGGTGGGTGCACGATCTTTTCCTCAACAATTCATGGCAATGCAGGTCCTTGCGAAGCTCCTCATAGAAATCATCAGCCCACTCCTCACTACTAGCTGGCAATGTCACTGTATGAGTGTATTGATGTATGTATATATATATACTATATATTATATCAATTCTATATTGTTAGCAGATATTACTTTATACATGTTTATGCTACAGCAATTTGTATTTAGTGGTTTGTATTAGAATGACTTGGTTTACTATTCTATTAGATTATGTAATGCTAAATTAATTTATATATTGTTTATTGGAATTTGCAAAAGTATGTTGTATCATATCTTATGTTTCTAGTACTGTATGTAAATATATAAGTGCATTAAACTACATAATGAGGTCTTAAATTTTGTTCACCCGTTTGAGAATGGGAACGACATGTTCTTCCAACGTGCACCTTGTTAGCCGGAAGTATATTCGTGTATCTTTTGTTGCTATTATGCACAAATGAATGAACACACCTGTGTGGATTCCGGACCGTCTCTTCACGGGGGAAGCCTGGGCGCTTGGCGACCTTGCGTGCCGCGTGGTTTAAGGTCACCGGCTATAGCATTTTCTATGCCTGCTTCGGCCTCAACGACGATACTGCTTCTTGCGAAAGAAAGATCTTTTGTGATGCGTGCTCCCTGTGCTTGGGGCAGGTCTTGCAAATAGTGGAAAGGTGAAGGAGGAGCATGTCCATAGCTATGGAGCACATATTTATTGTATCCTGGAAGAGTAGAATGTGGATTGCCACACTCACCGATGGAATCAGGACAATGCTGGAATTGGGCACTTTGGGAAGAACAAGAGTCGATTTCCTCTGGGCTGTGGAAGGATGCCCTGTGTCACACGCCTAGGTGGCCCAGATTGTGTCAATCTCCTGGAGAGAGTGAAGGAGTTGGCCGAGGACGACCTTGGGGTGGAAAGTGTTGGAGCGATGCCACCTAGGATCCAACTAGGTGTGTTGTGTGTTTTGACACTGGCGCCACCCAACCAACCACGAAACTAAGGGAGCATTTGCCTCATTTGGGTGGTTGAAACAGGATCCATGTAAGGCCGAACTTCCAGTGCCGATCATGTGATGCCGTGTTTGGGCCATGATTCTAAAACAACCCTGGCAGCATCAGATTGAGCTCAGTCGTGAGTGTTGTTCTTTTAGGCATCAGGTTGGTTTCAAACTGTTGAGAACCAGGCCACGCATGACCTCTGGAAAAAGAGTGTCGGACGTGGGTAGAAGAACGGTCAGCCTGAAACTTGAACCTTGAACCTTTTTGAACCGCCCTCCTCGTGTAAACATCAGGTTTGCTCTGTCGTTTGGCTAGCAATGACGACCTCACTGCAAACGACGCCTTTTTGTGGCTGACGTGAAAATGTGCTTTGAGTCCGCGTTAAAATCCGCCAATCCCCGGCATCAATTGACAACGGCTCAAGTGTTTGTAAGTTGTAGCTCTAACCCTCAGACAGACCTTGCTTTTAGTGGGTCAAGAGGCGTTTCTAGATCCTTAGCAGCTCCGACCAGGAACCTTTGACTCCGGCAGTCAGAACTGTAACACGTTTTTGAAGCGAGTCCGGCGGCAGGAGTCAGCCGAGGTGAAAGTCATCCGAGGACGGCGTGGGCGTGAAGTCCATGCGTACGGTGAGTGCCAGAGGGGAGCACAGGTCCTAGCATGTCCTGGAATCGTGGAGGATCTTTGTGTGCTGAAAGGTTCGCCCCAAAAGTTTGATCTTCTTCCTTTCGTTTTGCCACCTGGTCTTGAGCCTTGTCTTAGGCATGTCTTTGTTTCGCCTCGCAGGTAGCGGGTTAGGTCAATTCGTTGAGGCATGTTGGAAGCCTTCACGGTTTTCCGATTGAGAACGTGACCATATTTTTTGGAGGGCCAGGGGTGGTCACAGGGTGCGGCACTTTCAATGACTTCTTGCCAAAAGAATTGGCCACCAAAAATGCCATTAGTCACCTAGTCAACCCAAACATCTACAATTGGGTTCTTGCAGTGGAGGCACAATGCCAGGATCAGCTGTCAAGACTTGTCACTGGCACTGGCGGAAATCTTCGCTTGACCCTACAGAAAAAGGTGCCATCTGGCGGATGTGCACATTACTCAGCGCCTAGTTTTTGGGTTCAATCCTATTCATTCTGCATGGCCCGCAGTCGTGATCCAACCAACTCTTAGCACTGCCAAAGCAACCTGCAATTGTGAAACAGGACGTCCTAGTACTACGGACCGCGTCTTTCGGGAGGCCCCCAGCGAAAGGCCCTTGCGAAAAGGCCTGGAAGGTTCTGACGGCACACCGCAAGGTGGCAGAAGTGTTCGGACCGTTTTCGAAACGACCAGCTTCGCGGTGAAGAAACCTGCAGTCTCCAACCCAAGGCGTTGGACACCGCACCATCGCCCGGCATCGCGTTGGGCATGGTGTTTTTCCGCGGAGATTTCTGACCCAAAAGCTCCCAGGATTCTGCACCCAAAAAATCCAGGGTCTGGGCGCCGCCAGGAGTGCGGAGCAGCTCCACGGTGATCTCAGACCTCCGGCCCGGAGACCCAGCAGGTTGGCGTTGTTTTTGGTCTCGAATGTTCATGGGAAACTGTGCGCTAGTGGGCATGGAGCAAGCAAACGTTGCAGGTTCTTAAGGGGCATTGTTTGGTAACTTGCTGACAGTACTTGGTTGTGTTCTTTTTCGTGTTGGCCATCACTCACTGGTTGAAGTCTTGGCATGCCACCCCTTGGGTTGCTGCCAACCGATGACGATGAAGAAAGAATCCATGAGCGAGTTGACACGCACGCAAAGACCTGCAATTTGGGGTTGATGTTTGCCGATTTTGCTCACATTCTGAGGCCAGGCAGTGATATCGCCGTCCAGGCCGTTTCAGTCCAAATGCTGAGCATGGAGATCTTTGGACGTCCCAATCTGAATCACCGTGTTAGGTTAGGCGGCATATGATATGGGAAAGGTACGAGGGGACAAAACCATCGATATATATATATATATACATCGGTGCCATTTGGCCATTTGGTGTACATTATCCGTTTGCTTTCCGGAAACCCTGCTTGAGCATCGCGCAGCAGATGTTTGTCATGTTCCTTCAGAATCTTTCAATATGGACTCTCCTCCCTGCAGGCTTCTTCCAGAAAATTTGAAAGCGCCTTGTATGGCACATGTCGTCAACATGTTTGACGACTTCTTCCATTCGCAGCAGCATGCCATAAGCAATCATGGGCATATCACATTGGAGACCTTCAGCCACACATCCCGTGTAGCAGGTATTCGGTTCCAACAGCTTT